ATATATATATATATTGCCCATGATCAATTTATTTGAAATGCATTTCTCCTATCAAGTGGCTATCGCAGAGTAGCACTTGTGTAGTTCCCACGCGGTTCATTGCCATGGCCAATTCTCTGGAGGAAGAGCATTTGTGCAAGTGCAGGAAGATAGATGCAAAGGAACATCCCCATCCAATCGATTCGGAGGCCAATCTGACAAACGACCATTCAGAGTCTGAGGCAGTTTCCCTTGCGAGTGGATTTGAATCCCAGGGCTCCAGCCCTCGTGGGGGGTAGCTGCTGGAGTCACTCAACTCAAAGCGACCATGAATATTGTGAGCAAAGTGATTCTTGGGAAATGCTAAGCTCTGCCTCAACTGAATCTGCCACGATCTTGGGGCAATCGGGCGCAACTTCCAGTGGATTCATCTTTCAAGTTCCATCGGGCTCATCGGGGCCCGTAGAACCCTATGACCCCATCAGGCTGATTATGCAAGGTGTATATGTGAAGCTTGTCCCAGAAGAATCCGATGAGCCCCAAATTCACTGTCTTGATGCAGACTTCTATGTCGGGTCAAGTTGCAGCGGCTGCCCTACGGTTGCTTCAGATGAATTGGGGACAATAGGCAGTCTTCTCAGCCTCAGCCTGAGTGAGCCTGACCCTGTAGTTCATCCGGACAGTGGTGACCGCGTGCTTATTGTTCCCACAGCTGGAACATAATGAACCTGCACACAGTTGGATCTCTGGGGAAAATCAGGAGATTATCTCAGCAGTACAGAGCACTTTCATATACAACTCTTGGAACATACAGTATATCCTACAAATATATAATTAAACGAAGATCCTAGGTGAATAATACCAAAGAAGATCCTAGGTGAATGACATACAGTGCTTTGATGCAATTCAAATAGAAGATATTGTATAATGACCTCAGTTGATGGTGGTTCCCTCGAATGCCTCAGGTGATACGAAGCATCGAAGCTTTGCCTGCGCCCCAACTTCAGAAGCGGAGTCATCAATCTTTACTTTGTTCGTGTGACCTTGGAAACATCAACAACTGGGGCAGCACCATGGTTTTGGAGTTTCATTAGTCAGCTATTTTTACCAAATCCAAGTATCCAAACAACTAAACATATAGAAGATATTGTTACATATTTCTTCTATTTGCCATTGAGGAGTAAGCTCTTGCTATAGTTGACCAGGTACAAGCTCCTGATATCTGAGTGGCCGTTGACCGGCGCGCGTTCACTATGAAACTGAGCAGCAGTCTATCTATAAAGACGGTTATATATATATAGGTTGATCTCATCACAAAGGGATCGCGTGGCCTCCGCTCAGCTGAAAAAACAAGAGAGTCAGGAGAGAGGAGAGAGAGGGATGGGGAGAGAGAGAGAGAGAGAGAGAGAAAAAAATCAAGATTCAGATTCAGAGGTGATATCTTCTATTTGATGTGACATGTGTAGAGGGGAGGTCACATATCCTGGGTGGCACATTATATATACATTTCCTCTTATGCCTACCTGGCCGGCAGGAGAAGAAAGAAAAGCACGTGGTTTTGCCGTTGTCAGCTGTGTACTACACAGAGATTGTCTCGGGCCGGAAATGCTGGGAGTTTAGGCAGACCAAGCACTGGGAAGTGCGATTGAAGGGGGGCGACACACGTGCTGTTTCAGAAGGGAACCTCGCATCAATTAAAAAGAATGTGTATGTATATATAATATATGTACATTGTCAATGACTTTTTTCACATTTATTAATTGATACATGACGGTAGAGTCAAGTCAAATAGAAGATATTTGAAGATACTCCATTTCTACAGTGGTCTACCTCAGCATTTGCCAAGGCTACAACCCTCGAACCCGATCACAACCCAAGAAGATTCTGAAGCTAGAGAAGATGGACAAGGAGAGTGCCCAAGAGCGTGGTGCGCCCACCGGGAAAGACTGGGATGACATATTTGGAACGGAATGCGCCCAAGTGTTTGGGATCTATTTTGAGAAGGTTGAACCGCATGAAGTTCCAGCAGACCAAGCTCTTATGCAAAAAAAGTGCAGCTACCTTGGACACCCTCAGGAATGCCGGACCTAAGGGAAACATGTCTGCGGGAAAAGAAAAGGTCTTGGAATTCAGTGAGCTGTTCAAGCCTGATGAGTCTCGGACAGTCAAGAGCAAGGCACAATTGGAGGAGGAAAAACTGCGGGAGATCCAGTTTCCCAGCAATTTGCTGAAACGATTCATCGAACATGCTTTCAACCACAGCCCGAATGAATACATGGCCTGGATCCTCGGTACTCACCAGGAAGATTCAAAAACCAAAAAGTCAATCTCTTATGCTGGTGGATTGTACTTCCCAATGCAAGACTCAAACATGACCAGTGTTTGGGAAGCAGGTGGAAGTGTGGGAGAGAAGTTGCAGAAACACCTTGAGGACACTGGGATGGTTGTCGTCGGGTGGATACACTCCCACCCAACTTTTGAGGCATTTTTCAGCAGCACAGATGCCCACATGATGTATTACCTCCAACAGCTGTGCCCAATGGCCTATGGATTGGTTGTTGACTCTGACAAGAAGCTCCGTTGTATGAGGTTGAGTCCGGAGGGCATCAAGGCAGTTTGTGAATGCAAGCACGAGCAATGGCAGGCGCCCCGGTCAAATAGAAGATATACCAAATCAAAAATCAAATTTGGCCAGGCCGAGAGACTTTATGTGGGGAGCACCGGGGTTTGGAGACAACCCTCACCTTACAAGATAATTGGAGATATATAATTGGAAGCCAATGGACATGCCTGTAAACAGCAGGGGGACACCTGTGTCTGTTGCGCCTGCTGGTGGAAAGTGTGAAAATTGCTGGATTTCCTAAAGATTCCTTGTTATTCACAATGTGTTGCCCAATATCTTCTATCTGACATTCCTCTTTGGGTCTTTTAAACTTTGGGAGACTTCCCCCCAACAAACCGTCCGAGCTGGAGACCTCCCGCTGATGAGTCATCATGCTCCTCCGCAGACAAGCTCAGGTGCCTCATGAACATTCCATTGGAAATGAGGAAGCTGTGGAGGATGTGCCCTATTACATCCACTACAGTGGTAAAAGAAGTCGACTTCTTCTTTTCGATGAGAATATGGTGCCAGAGCCTCTCGACTTCCAGGATACAGCAGGATCTTTATTCCCCTTTGAATCCCCAATAAATTGCCAGCAGGTTGTTTTTTTTGAAATGCAATGGCTGTACCGGGCAAATAGAAGATATATACATATATATATATTTATATGTGGTATATATTTAGTCCTAGTGAGTGCAATGGCCCTGCCAATCAAATAGAAGATATATTGATTGTTCTCCTTTTTGTCAACATCAAACACTTTTGCTGGCCGTTCCCAAGGATTGAAACTGCTGTCAAAGCATCGGCCACCGCGAGGGCATCAAAGCGGGAGTCTGACTCTGCGGGACAGAACTCCCAGTCAGCTGAGACAGGTGATTCTGCTCCTAGACTGCCACAACGGCCTCATGGAATTCAGACTGTCCAGGAAACTCTTGCAGCTATCAAGCAATTGAAAGACTGGCTCCTTGAATCCATGGATCTCTGTTTTCAGGAGCCGGAAAAAGCCTCAAAGGAGTTCCGAACCAAGGCCTTGGAGTTGGCAAGTGCCAACCCTGGTTTGTCAGACTTGCTGACGGAGTGCGGGGTTAGCGCTGAGGAAGGCTCTACAGCATGCTTAAATTTTTCTCAGCTTGCAAGTTTCCTGCGAAGGGCAGAAGGAGAGCAAGACCAGATTCAGCAAGATTTGCTGACAGCTGGCCCGGCTCGGAGGCCTCGTGGAAGACCCTTTGGGTCCACAAACAAGAAAACAGAGGCTGATGGAGAGGACGCTTCCAAGAAGACCCGTCGCAAGAAGACTCCCAAAGGCAAGGCCACGGGCAGGAAAGAGCCGGAGGCTGAGGATGAGGGCATTCAGAGAGCAGATGAGGAAAAAGAAGGTGAAACTGGTTTCCCAGAGACAGACCCATTTGGAGATCTGGAGCAGGAAACCTCATCAAAGCGAAACAAGTGCGTGACAATACCCCTCTACGTCAAATGCTTGGTGGTTGAGTGCGCGAAAAAAGCTTGAAAAGGATGAGAGTGTCCAGAGCATCGAGAAAGAGGTCATGGTCCGCTTCAAGAAATACTTCTACAGCTGCGAGACTAATGGGTGGAAAAGTGGCCTACTGAGCAAATGGATTAAGCCACTAAACTTAACATTGCAAAATCGTGTTTTGGGAAAGGGCCTGGGGTAGCAACTTTTCTTTTCCTGCACCGTTAAAGAATATCTTCTATTTGTATGTGCAAAGGATCATTGTTAGCAACAACAGTTTCGTTGTGCCATTACAATATATATATATATATATCTTCTCTATGATCTGGATATTGGAGAAAAACCATTGTCTTAGCGCCCAGGACCTATGATGCTGAGTCTCACGAGAAGATTCCTTGGTCACTCATGACCGTCAAAGACAGAGCGCAAATAAAGCAACTCCCAGACTGGCTTCGCCGTGCAATGAGCCTTCCTGCCAGATGCCGGCATGGACATGCAAGTCGAGTGCCACAGGAAGTGGAGGCCGCATTTAATGACTGCTTGGAAAGGATGCTAGCTGGGTTCACACGTGACCTACAGTCCGTTACCAACCTGAAGATGAATGTTTTGGTGGAAACTGCGCAGCACATCTATCAAAAATGGAAGGCAGCCTACGCTGAGGTATGTCAGGCCAGGAGCGGAAAGTTCCGGCTTGAGTTCAAGGGTGCTTTGCATTGTAGGGGTTTACAACTTCATGTGATTGACAAATTCTAGGGTAGAATGAAGCACATATAGGAGAGGTGGGAGAAGGCTTTATACATTATATAAAGAGTCACTTTGGGCTTTTCATTGCAAAACCAAATAGAAGATATTGTACATATATATATATATAGTAGAAATCTTCAAGGCAGATAAGGACCGAAGTCCCAACCAAGAAAGTCAAATAGAAGATAATGGATACATTTGATAGTTCCACCAGGAGCGCAACCTCGAGCCGGAAAAAAATGCGGGTGAAAGACATAGACAATCGGTGGGTCTACCGGTTTCTCTACAAGTGGCAGTGGAGCTTTTTGACCAGCAACACCAAAGGCCAGTTCTTGCCGGATGAAAGCACTGAAATGAATGAAATGCGACGTGCACATCGCTCGCAGCGCGTCATCGAGGGTGTGCCCTGGAAGATGGTCTTGAACTTTGACCAGCTCTGGCGTTCATCAGTCGAAGCTCCATCAAAAGTCTTACACAAAAGGTCCGCCAAGCAGGCCACACGAGAGGGTGATCAATTTATGGAGGTAAGACCTGATGATTTGATTGGGAAACGGCTGCAGGCTGTGCTGAAGCTTGCAGAAAATGAGATGACCTCAAGGATGGGGCAAGCACCTAAAGCCTCCAAACTTCGAAAGGCAGCTGCACGATCAGAATTTGTCGTGGGTGGCAGAGTTGGTGTCACGGCTGTCACGGCCACGTGGGGGGGATGGAACAATTGGCCCTTTAGGGGTCTGCTTGACCACAGGTGCTCTTCCGCGATCAGTTATCCAGGATTACAACAGCAGTTACAAAGGACGTGTTTTCATTTTCGAGAGTGGAACCGAGACCCACTTCATGAATGCAGAGAGCACATTGCTGTACATGCAAGAGCTGTTGGGTCCTGTTTCTTGGAGGGTGTTGAGTATAAAAGCATCATTGTGTTCCTTGTGTGTTTTCTCAGGGGGGCGTATAAAACTGTAGGGTAAATAGATAATCTTATGGTTTCTTCTATATATCTACATAGGTTTTTTGTTCAGAAAGCCTAGACATAGTAAAAAGGCTTTCGAGCTGAGACGCGCAGAGTGTGGCTATAGCAGAGACATCCCTGGTTTGCTCATCGCCGATGGGTTTACAGGAAATTATGCTACCCTGGACAACCAGGATTCCAGGCGATCTTTGTGGTCCAAGCACAACAATGTGATCCTTCCACTCAAACCACCTGGCGGGTGGAGCTGTCATGGACAACCATGTGATGCAATGCATTTCATGGTAAGGAAGCTAGCAAACCTGTGGATTGACCAAGCCTTAGGCCAGGAGGGTAAAATCATCTGGAGGAATTATATAGATATATAATTGTGTAAGATGTTTTAACCATCACTTTCAGAACTTCATTGTAAAGTCAAATAGAAGATATTGTTGAATATAGTTACCTAGTCTACTCAGTCCCCATGTTTGCTTTGAAATCAGAAACTCAAATAGAAGATATTTCTGGAATATTTCCAGGGGCCGAGAGGGATCGGGACTGGGCGGATCTCGGTATTATAGTTTGCAAGCAACATTAGGATGAGAAAGTCCTTCCGGCAGGTTATCGAGATCCAGGTTTGGAACAAGCATCGCGGCCAATTCATCTGGGGCTGAACGGCCAAAAGCATCTCAGCGTCGGTGTGGAGGAGAATGTTAAGGCTTTGATCTACTCATGGCAGGAGATGGCCAACTACAAGCGGCTCCTCCGGTGGAGCTGGACCAGTCGTGGATTGGTCACACCAGATGAGATGAAAGAGCTTCATCCCAAACTCAATGAGGAGGAGAAGAATGAACTTGGAGAAACAAACCCTAGTCCATTCAAGCAGATGGTCCCTGAAATTCCAGCATTGGTTCCGATTCTCATCGAAATTGGAAACATTTCTTCTATTTGACTTGACAAATGTGCTTATTCCGATCGCCAGGGTCAGTGAAACATTTTGGTGCTTTAAGGTTGACCTTCTTTACTTTCACTTTCATACTATTTCATTGTTAGGCCTACCATCGCCGACTCAGTACGGGAGGCATGCCCAGGGCGAACTATCCACGTATGGCAGGTGCAAGATCCGCAGAATGACAGCAACTGGCTGAGCCTACCCATCCTCATGCAGCAACATGCTGACAAAAACTATGCCCAATACCAGGGAGATGTATATGCCGCTAAGAAGCGGTTAGAGATTCATGAGATCACACAGCGCAAGTATGACACCATTGTGGGCAACTCTCTACGCCCATTGGTCCTTATGAATGGCACGGGTGTTCCAGCAACCCAGAAATATGTGAAAGCTCACCTGCAGAAGTGTTCTGACGGCACCATGAAACTCAAGGTGGGATGCCGACAGAGGTTTGAGGGTCCTATTGGGTTTCCAAATAGAAAAGAGTAATGCCTATCAAATAGAAGATATATAAGATGTATATATATATACACACTTCCATAGGTGCCTGTTTAAATTCGCAGCAGGATGGCGCGCGATCGACCATCATTTTGTTTGACTTCCTTGAGAAGAAAGTCAAGATTGGTGGGCTAGACTGGTCACCTTTGCGGGTCCTTGAAGTCGAGACCAAATTTGATGGCCTTGAATTGAAAGTGGACAAGTCATTCTTGGAGTCGGTGAGAGTTCCAGGCAAGGTCAAAACAAACAAGCAAACAAACATTTTTGCAATTTTACCAGCCAATGTGGTATTTTCTTCTATTTGAAAATTCTGGCTCGCATATCCCACAGAAGAGAGGGATAGAGTTCCGCTCCCAAGAAGAGTCAAATAGAAGATAATCCGGTAGCCATATAACTATATACATAATGCATAGCTATAAAAATTCATATTGTTATTCCCCTACTCTTTCCTGCTTATGGACCAACCTCAAAGCACACAATCCAGGAATGGAAGTATACAACAGCCAGGATTCCCCAGTCGAGGAGGAAGAAAAAGCTAATGCTGAGCAGAACTACATGGAGGAACTTGCTGCCAACGGTATGCTAATTCCTGTTGTGGAGACTCTATCGGATGCTATGTCTGATATGGTTCAAGAGCTTTTTGCGGGAGATGAGCAAAAGGACACAGATTCACAGGAACTCTATTCTCCTTCCATTGGCCATCATGACGACCAACATATGAACGGCGGGGAGGATTTGGAGGGTGCGGGCGACATGACGGTGAAGATTGATGAGGCCGGCAATTTGATCGCTGTCTCTCATGACATTGAGCTAGTGGAGGAGGGGGGTTCAAGCTTGCACTTCCTCGCAGCCAACTGGCACCTTGGTCACACAAACAAATCTGATTGGGCAAAATTTTGCAAACTATGTTACATATATATATATATATAGTCCGCTATTTCCACCAGACCTAACTTTCCAAACGACCACACATATAGAAGATATTGCTACATATTTCTTCTATTTACCATTGAGGGATTTTCTCGCCGCTATATTTGATCCATCCTCTGAACCATTGCCTTTGTTCAAGGAAAGCAGGTCCAGTACATTCACTCCACGGCTTGGAAGGATTTGCAGCAGCAAGGCTTAGCAGATACGCCACGGATCATGGGAGTGCTGAACTGTGGGCTTTGCTACAATCGGCCTTTCAGCTCACTACTATTTAGACAGTTTTGGTTTGGATTGTGGCATTGTATTTTTATTAATTTCTTCTATTTGACTGGGTTGCAGGGGTTCTCTGCAAAGGAACGGACAATGGTTGGCACTATATCCTGGGTTCCCCAATTGTGGCCGCAGCTTCAATGCAGGGCTGCGCTCTGAGAAGAAAGCTCTACTCCAAGTTTTGATCTTTCTGTGGCAGTCCCACCAGTCAGCGCTAGGAGCTGCAGCGGAAACCGTTTCAGTTCACGAGATGCCTTTGAAGGACTACATCGAGCACTTGGTAGATGAAGAATCTGCCGCCACGTAGACTGGGAGCCTATTTGTAGATATTTGTAGAACTTGCAAGGGGTTATATATATATACAAGGCATTTGTGAAATGTTTTCATGGACTCAGGAATTGGTCTTCACAATTTTGCAGGATTTCCCAGTCCCACATGCTCTAGTAATTAATTACCTTTTAAGTTCACTCTGCTCCAGCGTACAAGACGACATGCTCTTGCGCTGGTGTTTCCTTGACGGTTAACCTGCCTGAGGATTTGGCAGGCCTGGGGTCAATGCTAACAAAGCATTACCAATTATATACAAAGAGATTGCTTGCAGTTGGAAAAACTGAGCGCAATTCAGCATAAAACAGGGAACAAGTTCAAATAGAAGATATATTACTTAATTAATTTTGTGTAAACATTCACCCACCAAATAATTAAAACCAATATCTTCTATTTGATGTTCATTTATGTTCATTTATATCTTCTAATTGACTTGTTCTGTGCGCGCTTGATGAGTCAATGGTAAGACATCCCAAAACACAAAAAAAACTGCAGGTTTTTTGCAGTTTTCTACCAGTCCAGACAAACATGGTCATGTTGCAAGAGTTGCTCCCTATAAACCGACATAGGGTGCAAAAATCAAAGAATTTTCCGCCGGCTAGCCCGAGTCATGTTAGAGGCAAACAAGCAGGATTTGCTGTAAATACCAGTGA